TATAATTTTGATAGACTGTGCCTGGTGTTGTTGAATAATACTACTACTATTTTTTTAAAAAATGGGTGCCTCGTGTCACAGCGATACTGTAATACTAGCAAAAGGCAAGAGAGCTAATAATCAGCGCCTCTTCAAACGTCGTCGGCCCCACAAAGAAAGAGAAAGCGAGCAAGAGAGCCCCCAGGCAGGGCCTCCCCCGGTAGACACAAAAGGGGCGCTTCTGCCTCTCTAGCGATTGTACGGAAAAGAGCAATGGCTGCGCCCTGTGGGGGCCCCGTGATGTTTTCCGTACAAGGCCGCCTCGCGGAACCGGAAACGACGGCGCGCCGTTGGCCGGTCGTCTCGCTCTAATTGGCGGCGCGGCGCCTGAAAGTGGTCGGCTTCCGGTCCTCTTCGGAGGGCGGCCGGTGGTGGGGTTCGCTTCACGGAGGCCCGTCCTCGAGGAAAGCAAAGCGGCGACCGGCTGAGGCAGCGCTGGGTTTACTGGGGAGACAAAGACCAGGTAGAGCCCCAGGTGTGCGGCAGCCGGCGCCTCTCTTGGCACCTCTGCTCATATTGGCCCTTTATTGTTTCCGAATTTCGTGGCGTGCAATTCCTCCGTGGGTCTCCTGAGCGGCCGGTACTGTTTCTTCCTGCCCGCTACCCAAAGGACAGCCGTGTTAGTCTGTTGCAACAGAGTCCTGTGACACCTGGAAGATGGCAGCAATCTGCAGAGGGGTGGCCGCGTTAATCTGCTATGTAGCAAAAACTGAAGTACCGGTGGCAGCTTTAAAATAAGCAGGAGATGCTCATTACCTCTGCTTGTTATTATCACCTTGCATGCTTATTAGCAGTGTTAGTAATCTAATTGTCAGCCTCTATTTTACCTGGCTTCCGCTCTGCCCATCAGGAACACTGGGTACATAAACTTGTAGCCTGAAAGCCATCGGCTGCATGGCCCAAGAAAGTCAATTGGGATCCCCAGAAACTCACTTTGAAATAAATACTTTATTTATTCATTTATTCATTCATTCCATTCATTCATTCATTCATTCTTTTTTTCTATTTATACCCTGCCTATCTGGTCATCGTGACCACTCTAGGCGGCTAGATACTTATACTTTTTATAAGTACTATCATACTTTTGATTCTTGGATTCCCAGGATGAATAGAGTGATGGACTAGAATTCTGGAGGAAACTCCCTGGAGGAGTGGAATTGGTAAAACCACTTAAATATCTTGCTTACGGTGAAAGCTCTATTGGGGTCATTAGAAGTCCTTGCCAGTTCTGATCTGACAGCACAAAATACATAGGAAATTTTTTGTTTTTATTGTACATACTTTACTTATTGAGTTGGGTTGCAGTTTAGTTCTTTCTTCATGTTAGAAGCACTCCAATATTGCTTTTGTAGAGGAAGGATCAGCCGAAAGATTATTGAGAGCATTAGAAAGTGTTCACAGTCCTCACATTCTCTCCCTCCCCCGCGCTTTGGTTCATGTCAGTGTTATTCCACCTTGCTTCCTCATCCATAATTGGTTTGTAATCACAGCTGTATTAACCACAATATGTTTTCGTAATTTGTTTTAGCTTTGTATTTCTCCTTTTGCAGGACCCCATTAGTGGATTACTAAAATAATGTATCAGAAGTGGTCAAACAGCAGTGACTAAGCAGACGGATCTGGACCAAATATAAAACTGTAGACCGTGGTATCTTAATAAAGCTTTTGAGAAGCTGCTTTGGCCTCCAAGCTAACTTGAACGTTTACACTGGCTCAGATTGCTAAAACCATAGGGCAAATTAGTCATGATTTAACAGCAGATTTATTAATTTCTGTGCGATGTATGTGCAACTAATTTGGCTGTGCCTGGTGTGATGGCGCTGTGGGTTAAACTGCAGAAGCCTCTGTGCTGCAAGGTCAGAAGACCAGCTGTCGTAAGATCAAATCTACACGACGGAGTGAGCCCCTGTCGCTTGTCCTAGCTCCTGCCAACCTAGCAGTTCGAAAGCATGCAAAATGCAAAAATGCGAGTAGAGAAATGGGTACCACCTTGGTGGGAAGCGCTGGCCATGTGACCACGGAAACTGTCTTCGGACAAATGCTGGCTCTATGGCTTGGAAACGGGGATGAGTACCGCGCCTTAGAGTCAGACATGACTGGACTAAATGTCAAGGGGAAACTTTACTTTGGCTGATGTTGTGATAGCATGGTTTGACTCCTGTAGAACCTGTGCATATATTACTGAGATTTATTTTTACTTTGCAGACCCTCACAGCGAAATGTCTACACCACCTCTAGCTGGAGTAGGAATGCCTCCTGGCCCGTTTTCCGGTCCCCAGTCTCAAGCTGCGCGGGAAGTCAACACTGCTTCTCTGTGTCGCATTGGTCAAGAGACTGTGCAGGATATTGTATTTCGTACCATGGAAATCTTCCAGCTATTAAGAAATATGCAGGTGAGATGGAACACTATCCTCCTCCTTAATACTTTTAGACTTTTATTTTTTGTGTCATTCTTGAATTAATTTGAAAGAGGGTACTGTAGCAAATGGGAAAAAATTTCAAGCTGACACGGAAAGAGTTTGGTATTTGAAAGGAAGAACTGTAGTTTGCCAAGCATTTTAAATTAATTTAAAATAATTTTAAAGACATATTGTCACATTATACTTAAAATTTGCAAAAGAAAAAACAAAACATTGTTTAAATAGGTGCAAATAGACTAAAACAACAAGAAGCCATTGCATATGCAGAATTTAACATGATACATTTAGAGCTACATATGTTGTAAATGAGTCGCTATGTACTGCTCCAGGCATTTTTTTTAAATTTTAGAGACTTTCTTAATTGCTCCTTCAGCAGAGTAGTTGCCAGGGATGGGGACTTGCAACTCGTGATCAAGTCCGACTCAAGTTGCACTAGCAACTTGATTCAAACTCAGCTTGATTTTTTTAAAGACTTATATTTGACTCATGGCTTGGACCCATTAAGCATTTTCAAGTCCTTATGGTTTTAATGGAGACCTGAGATGTGTGTGTGTGTATTCCCAATACATCTCCAAATTTCTTATTGTTCTCAACAGATTCACCACTACAATCTGATTCTGTCTTTTTTAAAAAAATGATTATCTGGGCAGTTTTCTTGGCTGAGTATTGCTGATGCGATTAGTATTTCCATAGACCTGCCTCTAAAGCAAATAGTGGGCATTGATTGCAAAGTAGACTTTCGTAAGAAATATTTATGCCTATTAGCAAAATTGGTCTTTTTTTTGATACTCCTGTTTTAGAAGATGGTTGAAATGTGACTGGTTTTTATTCATTTCTTAACAACAACCATAATAATCATGCTTGACTCTTCCAGCTCCCAAATGGCGTTACCTATCATACGAGTACATATCAAGACAGGTTAGGAAAGCTACAAGAACATCTGCGTCAGCTGTCAATTCTTTTTCGGAAACTGAGATTAGTATATGACAAATGCAATGAAAACTGTGCAGGGCTTGACCCTGTTCCAATAGAGGTAAGTAGAAGTTGGCAAACAGATATTTAAATCTGTGGTGGGCAGATTTGAGACTTGTGGGGGCCTACTTTACTGTTCACAAAAACTACCAAGATCCACCAACTGGAGCCTAATGCGAAAGATCTGGATGCACAAAGTTTGCATTTTTACAATTCTGAAGACATGAAATTTGAGTACTTGTAGTGAATAGAGTGCAGTGGAAATAACTGCTCCTGATGGCCCCACTCTTTATTAATGACAGCAGCATAATTTTGGGTTTATAGTGTAGTTGATATTAAACAAATAACAGCTGGAAACCTTTGCGACATATCACCCACAGTTCTGGCAATGAGTCAAGAGCCATCTTTGCCCACCTGTAGTAGGTCATGCTTCGTGTTAGGAGAATTCAAAAGCCTTGTGTAAATCAGTTTTTCCAGTTGCTTGCACTGACTGATGGATTTCAGAAGTCTCCACCTTTGCTCCTTGATCGTGGGGCTGCACATTACAATATAAATATTCATTTGAAAGTAACCATTTAAAATTTCCTATACAAAACCAAATAGATACAGTGGTGCCTCGCTTAGCCATTGCCTTGTTTAACGATGTATTCGCTTAGCGATGAGGTTTTTGGAGTGATATTGCGCTCCGTTTAGCAATGTTTCCTATGGGGAAATTTCGCATACCGATGTTCGGGACCTTGCTTCGCTTAGCGATGACAGTTTAGGTCCCCCTGTTTCGCTTAGCAAAACAGCTGTCAAACCTACAGTTCAGTGCATTCCAATGGGGGGGAGAATTCACCAAAAATTAACGAAGACTCAGAACAAAGCCAAATTAAGTCTGCAAAGGTTTTACAAGGTGCACTAACGATTCCAAGCATTTTAAAGAGTTTTTGAACATTTTAGGACACTTTAAAAATAGCGAAAACGGACCTGTCAAAACCATTGAAATGCATTGAAACCTATTCAGTGCATTCCAATGGGGGAACCGCATTTTGCTTAGCGATGTTTCCTACGGCGATTTTCGCTTAAGGATGGTAATCCGGTTCCCATTGGAACGGATTATCCGGTTTTCAATGCATTCCTATGGGAAATGGTGTTTCGCTTAGCGATGTTTTCCCATAGCGATGTTTTTTTGGGAACCAATTAACATTGTTAAGCGAGGCACCACTGTATTTAAAATGTTACTGAAAAGCTAGTGTTCGTAGTTCTCTTTTAATTGGCTCATGTACAGGCTTTCATACCTGATTTTATAAGAAGTTTTTAATAGGCCTTGTACATTTGTTTTGCTCACATTTGTAGCAACTTATTCCTTATGTTGAAGAGGACAGCTTTAAACATGATGATCGAGGAGCAGCCAGCCAGCTTCTCTTTGCTAGTGAAGAGAGAAGAGAAATCATGGAAGTGAACAAGGTAACAATTTATGTGTGGTTTGCATGCAGCAGATGTGATTGTAGAAGGCTTTATTTATTACTGTTAATGCATACATCCAACTATTGCAAATAAATAAATTGGAACAATGATTGAATTCTCTTAAATTCAAACTTGTTCTTGCTCATTTTTTTCCTAGCACTTGTGCTCTACCCCATCCCATGTTTGTTCAAAGATGATATAAGTGTCCTTATATTTTTGACACACTGACTTGTAGATGCCTGGCTTGGAACAAGGTGTCTTTCTTTGAAAGTTTCTCTTTCTTAACCAGTGTTGCTATGGACCACGTGGTCTGAATCCTCTGTGGGTTGAAGGTTTGTACAATGGAAAGAAAAGGAACAGCTGAGTAAAGTTCTGTCTGCCATAAGGGTGGTACTGGGTAAAACAGTCACAACTTCTAGTTATTATTGCTACATGAGTGCTCTGTACTGTTCACAAAGTGACACTATGCAAGGGAAAAAAACTCATACTCAATACTATGTACCTTTTCTTCATCCATTAACTACTTCTTACCCAAACACAAAGCATCCTTTTTCCTGCTGGCAACATGGGTGCAATATTGCACAGCAGTATTGGACCATTTCCTGGCTTTTTGACTCACAGAAGCAGAATATCCCACATTCATAAACGAGGTTTTTAAAAGAATTGAATTATATTCCCTTCATACTAAAAGTGGAACCAGAGCTTTGGCTTCAGTGTAAATATACGTTTTCAAACTAACATTGAAGTCTGTACAATGGTCACATAAGCATTTATTGTGGAATTATTTGATGTTCTGTTGTCATTTATCTGTGCAATTTATCCTTCAGCTCACAAAATTAAATGCAGAACTAATAGTGGGCAACATATTTTTGTGGTAAGGTTGATTTAACAAATTGTTTGTGCCCAGACTCATCGGATGCATGAAATAATCTCTAAAGGTGTGCGTGTGTCTGTGCTGCACAGTGTGTTATGAGGAGAAAGATTATGGGCCAAAAGCCTTTGGTGTACAAGACATACTGCCTGTGATGGTCCTGTGTCATGCTAAATTGAATTAAAATAGTCACATTATAGGGATGTTGATCTCCCATTAAGCCTGTGTGTCCAGCCCCACAGTCTATCTGTTGAAGAATGGAGATTTGCAATAGGGTGCATGCAGACAATCTGAAAGTGCTTTGGGTAAAGGTAAAGGTTTCCCTTGACATTTAGTCCAGTCGTGTCCGACTCTAGGGTGCGGTGCTCATCCCCAACTCCAAGCCGTAGAACCAGCGTTTGTCCGTAGACAGTTTCCATGGTCACGTGGCCAGAGCGACTAGACATGGAATGCCGTTACCTTCCCACTGTGGTGATACCTATTTATCTACTCGCATTTTTACATGCTTTCGAACTGCTAGATTGGCAGGAGCTGGGGGAAGTGACCGGAGCTCATCCTGTCACATGGATTTGATCTTACGATTGCTGGTCTTCTGACCTTGCAGCACAGAGGCTTCTGCAGTTTAACCCACAGCACCACCATGTCCCTGAAAGTGCTTAGATTACTGTAAAAAAATAGATAGACAAAACATTCCTAACTCTAGGGCTAGATGCTATTGTTAACAGCAGAGATGGATACCTTTGGCGTGTCAGGGGAACCTGTGTCCCCTGTGGGGTAATGCTCAGATCTCAAAACATGCCAACAACAACAACAAAAAAAAGAACTGCCTGGATGTGACTAGAAATCATTTTCTGTTTTTTTGTAAGAAATTAGTATTTGGGGTGTTAAATTCTTCCTGGAGAGTTGTGAGTAATTTAAAGGTAAATTGCCTTTACTGGAGGCTTGCTGGAGATGTCATTCTCCTTTCTAGGTGAGGATTGGATGCCACAAAAAGCACCCTGGGTGTCAGCATTCTGCCCCCCCTGATTTAGATCCTTGACTATCCAAGGAGTGGTTTGTCGTGCAAGAGCTAGTTGAGCCCTGGTATGTTGTGTATTTCTCAGCATTTTCCCCTATGTATGTGTCTGTGCCCACATGTGTGTATCAGTCTGACCACTGAGGATAAATAGTTGGTGTATTAGATTCCTGGGTTTTAGTCTAAAGAGTCTTTTACTGCAACAGATCTGTCAGTCTTTGTGGTACCAGAAGGATCTATCATTTGTATATCTAAGTAATTAAAAGTTCTTTGGAAAACTGAAGATTTTTAAAAGAAGCAGGCTGACATTTCAGCTTCTGTCACTGCCAATTAGTGAGGAAAAAGATGTTATAAAACCTCGTATTTCCACCCTGTCAGTGCCTAGACACAAGAAAAAAAAGTGAATTTAAGGAAGAACTACTCTCTCGTCAGACTCAATCATATAACTTCATACAGATGGATGAAGATTTAATAAAACATGAAATTATGCACAGTTCATAGATATATGAAGCCTTTAATTGATATGTTCCAATGTTTTTTGTGTATTGATAACTTTATGGTGTGCATTTGCCCATGTTATGGTACCCAAATGCTAATTTGTGTATTATCCTCCTTAAAGTGATCTTGCAAGAGGAGTTTCATGAATGTTTATGATGGTATCTGACCTGTTAGTTAAGATGATTGAGCACAGCGATAGCACTGCATTGAAATTTGTGCTTCGAGCCCTTCGACTAACTTATTCTGTGTGCATCTAAACACTATGATAAACTTTCTAGATCTTTAAAATAAGTGTTAAAGATCAGCATGAATTTTCCTAAATATTACTGTATGTAAATATTCGTCAGCTTCTATGGAGGAAGCTTCTTAAATATTCTCCACTAGTTGGAATTTATCCTGAATTGAGCTCATCTGCAACAAACATGAAGAAATATTCTTATCATGAACCCAAAAGCTATAGTCCTAAACCCACTTACATGAGAGTAAGCCCCACTAAATTCAGTGAGACTTGCTTCTGAGTAGGCACAAGTGGTGCTGTTCAGACATGACGTATGTTTGTACATATGATACAGTTTCTTTTGCAGTATTTTCCAACTATGAGATAAGGGAATAATTTACAATGTTCTTTTGAAGATTTCTTTTAGTAGTCTTTCTTTGGGTTCTACCACGTCGGCCTCTCATTTTAGAGAGCCCCCTCTCTGAATTTACAGCTAAAACCTGGAATTGTATTCAGATAAGGACAAACAGGTTAATACAGAGTCTAGAATCCTGGTCTGTTGTGCTCAAGGCAATTGGAGACTATTTTACAAGAATGATTTTTATGTCATGTGTTGTCATTTTGGGGAGGGGGAAATTGTTCTATTAAATATGCATATACTTAGTAAAATACACAAATCATAGAATCATAGGATAATTATGTTGGGAGGGGCCTATAAGGCCATTAAATCAAACTCCCTGCTCAATGCAGGAATCCAAATCAAAGGATATCTGACAGATGATTGCCCAATTTTCTCTTTAATGCCTCCAGCATTGGAGCACTCACCACCTTTCAAAGTACTGTAATTGGCTCCATTGTTGTACTGTTCTAACAGTTAAGTTTTTCCTGATATTCAGCCAAAATCTGGCTTCCTGTGACTTCAGCTGATTATTACATGTCAGGTACTCTGGGATGATCGAGAACGGCTCCTGCCCCTTCTCTGTATGGCTGTCTTTCAAGTATTTGAAAAGTGTTATCATATCTTCCCTCAGTCATCTTTTCTCAAGGCTTAAACATGCCCAGTTCTTTCAGTCTTTCCTCATAAGGCTTGGTTCCCAGTTCCCTGCTCTTCCTTCTGAACTTGTTTCATTTTGTCAGTGTCCTTCTTAAAGTCCAGTGTCCATAAAAGGACACAGCACTCAAGTTGAGACCTAGCTAGTTCCAAATAGAGGGGGACTAGTAGTGCACTGGATTTGGAGCCAATACAATGGTACCTCGACTTAGAAACGTCCCTACGTATGACCATTTCAAGTTACAACCAGCTCCAGCGGCAAAATTTTGCTTCGACAGTACTTGCGTCCGGAGCTTCCACTTATGAATAGAAAAAAGGTGGGAAATTCAAATTTCTAACTGTAGGTGGCGACAGGGCTGCTGCTTTTTAGCTCTTTCGACCCAGCAGTTAACGAGTGTGCCATCGGAGGAGGCTTGGGACTGCCTCGCTTCGGCTTCTGAGTGTGTGTGTGTTTGCAGGGAGGCTTCAGGCTGCCTGGTAAGGTAAGGTGCATTTTTCTGCTTTTTAAAAGCTGATCTGGGTGTTTTTGCAGCATGGTTTTGGGCTGGGGGGGTTATGTTTCTGTGCTGTGATGGGCCTTGAGGGGTTTGTTTATTTGTTGGGTTTTTCCCCCATTTCTGATGGGTCTTGGGGGTTGGTTGGTTGGTTGGTTGGTTCACCTCCCCCCATTTCTGATGGGTCTTGGGGGCTTGGTTGCTTTTGGGTTCCCCTCCCCCCATTTCTGAGGGGTCTTGGGGGCTGGGTTGTTTTTGGGTTTTTTTCCCATTTCCGATGGGTCTTGGGGGGAGTTGGTTGCTTTTTGGGTTTTTTTCCCATTTCCGATGGATCTTGGGGGGGTTGGTTGGTTGGTTTTTTTTCGATTTTCGATGGGTCTGGGGGTTTGGTTGCCTTTTCGGTTTTTTCCCCCATTTCCGATGGGTCTTGGGGGGTTTGTTGGTTTTTTGCCTTCCCTCATTTCTGATGGGTCCTGGGAGGGTTGGTTGCTTTTGGGTCCCCCCATTTCTAATGTGTCCTACATGCTTCCTTTGCTTTTTCCTTTGTTTTCTTTGCATTTCTGACCTGCCACCTTTGTTCTTTGTGCATTTCTGATCTGCTGAGTCTTGCATGCTTGATTGCTTTTCTCTTTCCCCACCCCCCTTCGGCCAGAAGGGATTAATCGCATTTCCAATGTGTCTTGCAGTGATTTTGTGTGTGTGTGATTTTTTTTCTTCAGTGGGAACGGATTAATTTCATTTCAATGCATTCTTATGGGAAATGGTGCTTCGACTTACAACCATTTCGAGTTACATCTACTGTATCTTCTGGAACAGATTATGGTCGTAAGTCGAGGCACCACTGTAATTCTGTT